TGTGCTCTGTGCTGGATGGCTCAGGCCTGATATCCACATTCAACCTGCTGTTCCTAGGCCAGGTGGCTCCCTCAGTGTTGGGGTCCATGCAGTGGATGTAGGGGACACGAAGGTGTGAAGAGTATTGTTCCATTGCAGGCAGGGCCGCAGGGAACTTCCCGCTGTTTGGCAGGGCCCCACGGACAGCTCTGCAGCCACCTGAATGCAGCTCCACCTTCTTTTGCATGGACACCAGACCACCCTGCCAGGGAATTCTAATCCATCCAGGCATTGTTTGCTACTGTGGGGCTGGCCTTTTGCTCAGTGTGAGCTTGGAGGTTAATGTCGGTGATAGGGTCTTGCAAAAGGGCCTTCTATTATTCCTACTGTCTTGACTGTCCCCATTGACCTTATGCTAATCAAGGGACCTATATTTAGGCTTTCATTCTTTCCTCATTCTTTAGATTTCCCCTTTTCTTTGTGATACAACATTGAATTGTAGGATAAGAATTATAACAGGAACTTCTATTGTTCCTAGGTAAAACTAATGGCAGAATTATCCTTAGAAATTCCCAACTTGACCATGACGTAAAAAGTCTGAGCCAGAGTTTGACTGATTTTGTATAAATAAAGCAGACAGCTTTCCTGCATTGTCCGTTATGATCATGTAATCCTAGTGGTCCGTCTTTCTTTCCTCTTTACGCCTCATCCACGCACCTTTCATGAGTTCCGAACTCAGCTGGAGCTGGACTCGGGCGCCTCAGGCTCTGTTCCTTCATTCTTTGTTGTTGTCATGATTTAATTCCTCTTTGCTGACAGGCAGGGTGATAGAGGGTGAGAAAGAGAAATCCTCTTCCTGCTGCTTCACTCCCAAAGTGGCTATGACCAGGCCAGGCCAAAATGAGGAGCCTGGCGCCCCGCGGGATCTCCCACATAGGCACAGTGGGATCCACAGTGATCCACGCACCTGGGCCGTCTTTCACTGTTTTCTCAGGTGCATTGCAGGGAGCTGGAGTAGAAATGGAGCAGCCAGGACTTGAAACGGCTCCCGTGTGGAACTTACTACCCCACAATGCTGCCTCAGAACCGTTCTCTCGTAGAGGCCTGTACCATCCTATGTCCTGTACCCGTACCTCCTGTGTCCAAGTGCACCCCACAATAACCTCAATCCAGCTTAACTTGCCTTACAAATATTTGGGGTTGCCTCAATTGGATAATACTTATAATTGAGCAGATGTTCTTAAAATAGTTGGTTGTTTTCACATGGCTTGACATTCCCATCAGGAAAACAAAGGCTGTGTTTTTTTTTCTCTTTGTGCATTGTGATGCTCTTAGCAAATTCCAATGCTAGCGTGCAGCTGCTCAGTGCTCGGCGCCTTGTGGAGGCCTTCCTGTGTGTAGAGCAGTCCGTGGTGGGCTGCACAATAGGGGTGTGTGTGTGTATGTGTGTGTGTGTGGTGTCCGTTGTTACCATTCCTGTGTGAATCAGGACTTTAAACACAATCCAGGAACTGTGCATGATAGAGGGGAAGGAGACTGTTGCGTTGGAGCTGGAGGTGGGAATTTGACCTGATTCCAGTCTGGCGCATGCAGTGGAAGCAAGGGGTGAGGACTGGGGGTTGAGGGGACCCAGGGCGTCAGGCAGCCTCAGTGACTGGGCGTCGAGCGGAAGCCCTGGCTCAGGAAGAACGGAAGTCAGCTGGAGCAAGCCCTCACACTGTGCCAGGTTTTGGAGACTGTAAACAGGAAAGGAAGCCTCGCTCAGAAGCCGGCAGGAAGACTGTCTCAAGAAGAGGCAAGGAGGTGTGGAAGCTGCCTGCGACAGATGCCGTGCGAGGAGTACAGGGCTGGGGACTCCTCACACGATGTTGGTTTGCCCAGAACTTGAAGTGAAGGCGAGCTGTGGGAATCCCCATGCGGAAGAGCTTCCACTCCAGGCTTCTGCCGTTCTTCAGCAGGTTCGGGGCTGGAGCCTCCTGGGCTGATTTCAGCCGTCTGGTTGAGCTTTGGTCCTGGTCTTCATCTATTTGTCAGCTGCCCTGAGTCAACTGGTGTCCATGTGTTTCAGCCCGATAGGGACTGTGGCTTCCAAGCTTGTCCCCAGCACCTTAATGTCCTCATGTGGCTTTGCCTTGTTCTTCACAAGCTCTGGCTGAGGTGATGTCACAGCGGGAGAAGCTCACTTTCAGAGAGGTTGAGTGATGGCTCCAAAATCAGCAAGCTTCATGAAGAATAAGCACAGGCACCCAGTTCTGGATTCCAAAGTAGCACCCTTGACCCTGAAGCCACTGCCTTGTGCCTGATCCAGTCTGGAGCCCTGGGCCTGTTCAGTGTTGCCCACAGTCCACCTGCCAGGCTCCAGCCCTATCTGCCTGAGAACAGCCACTCCTAGCTCCTGGGAGGCAGCTCCCTTCTGGCCTGGCAGTATCACGCAGGGCTGCTAAGCTTGCTGGGGACATTGACACTCTTTTGCTTATAGCACAAGTGCCACTAGGACGTGTGGCCTGGAGAAAAATGTCACCAAGATCTAAAGTAGGTAAACATTACACAGGAAATAAGATCATGGCCCATGAGCCCAGAGCTCCTGGCAAGCCCTTGTGGATGCTGGATGCCACCGTGGAGTCAGGGTGCCAGGAACTGGTCTGCAGGAAAGGCCCTCCACAAGCCCTGAGCCCAGTTTTCTGCAGAGCTGAGCGGTACTTGGCCTCTGGTGTTTGCGTGTGTTATCTAGAAGGATTAAACGAATTCCCAATCACTGCGATTTGAGTTCCTTGGTGTCAGCGGAACTATGCTGTGTCAGACCTGGTGCTGTCCCGGAAGGTGGCTGTTGGCCACTGGCACTGCTCACGCTTGTCCTGAGTGATGGTTACCTGCCCTCGCCTCATGCACATCCAGGATGCTTGGGAAGCTTTCCCACCTGTCCGAGCGCTGTGGCAGGCTCCTCCCTTCCACCTCCAGGATCCTGTGTTCCGCGGCCCACATCCTAACTATGCTGTGAGATTCCTCACGTTCTTCCTTCTGAGCTGCTAACGCCTTCTCCCCGACCCCAGAATGCCCTGGGGGGAACTCAGACTGTGACACCTCCTGAGCAGATGTGGACTCAGCCCCATCCCGCTGTGGTAGATTGAAAAAGGAGAACCATGGCAACTCCTTAACGCCAGCAGTGGCTGAGACAGATGGCAGTGATGGAACATGCAGCCCTGTGAGATGCTCTTCCAGGCTGGCAGTGGATCCGTGGCTGACCCAGCCAGCATGACGAGGGGAACAGGACTTTTCCTGAGCATTTGCTGTGCGTGACAGGCTCTCTGCTGACCATCTCACCTGTGTGAGATGGGATGGTCAGCCCCAGCATGCAGAGGCACACCCTGTGGCCAGCCTGGCTCCGTGACTGCGTTGTCCTTACTGATGGAGGTGGTCTGGGGTGTAGTTATCCCACACGACGCTGAGTGACTGCTGCCCGTGTCGTGGCTGCTCCCTGCCCTCTGTCTGGTGAGGGGCTTTGGGCCATTTCTTGCTCCTTCCTTGCTCCTTGGGAGATGTGGCCTCTCCACAGTACCAAGCCTCAGCTCCCCATCAGACTCTCCATCACGACCTCTGTCCACAGGCCCGTTATACATGGTCAGACTTGGCCTTGTGTTACTTGGTAACTTCTTCCTGAGCTCATTGTGCGGGTGTGCAGTGTCTGTGTCCCTGACCTGGCCCAGGGTCCTGAACCATTCATGCTGTTAACTTCTTCCCAAGCTCAGTGTGCGGCTGTGCAGTCTGTGTCCCGAGATGGCCCAGGGTCCTGAACCATTCATGCACATCATCACCTGTCCTCCGTAAGATATGTTTTTGTTGCTGAGTATGCAAATAAGAAACGGAACAAGGAGAATTATTTGTGGCCTCTTGAGCTAGCAGGCAAAGAAAATATCTCCTGCCATCGGAGTTGTCCTGTTTCGTTGTGTCTATCAGTTTGGATCTGGGGATTGCCTTGCACGTTGTGAGTGCTCATGTGGCTGGTGGTCTTACCTGACATTTGCCCTGAGCTGTTCTCAGTTCTGGCTTGGGGAATCATGGCTCAGAGAGAAGGGGCACTGGAATTGGAAAGCACACCCTCCCTGTTGCACACCCCAATGCTGGGGCTCAGTGTGCAATCTTATACTGCCGGATGCAAGGATTTGCTGTGTGTGCCAGCAGCGGTCAAGGGTTGAGTGGGCACTGTGGGCTGGGTGCCATACTCAGAAATGGGCATTCACACCAGCCCTGTCTCTGCCCAGCTCACTGGCTTTACCCAGCAAAGGTTACCTGTGTAGCCATGGAATGTTTGTAAGCTAGGGGAGCCCCAGCTGTAACAGGGCTGGGATGCGAGCAAACATTCTGGATGGATGGGGTGAGGGTCATTTCCTTGTTTGCTGGGCAGTCCCCGTGCATCAGGCCCTGATGGAGTCCCCACCCCCTCCTTAAGAGAACCTGCCTGGAAAAGGCTCTTGGCTTTCTGAAGCTTTTACAGGCTAGAAAACTGCTGGCTCAAGAGGCAGCTAGTTGGTGCTTGATCTGTTTCCGGAGGCTGAGGGAACGCCAGGGTGTTGGAGGTGGCAGGTGTGTTCCGTGCAGAGCACAGAGGCCCAGTGAGAAGGACATAGCTCAGTCATTTCCCTAGGTTATTTCTATCAGAAAACAGCAAGCAGTGAATTTTCAAAGAAAATAGCTTTTTTTTTTTTTAGCCCAAGCAATGATGCTTTAACAGAGCTTCTCTATACAGTTGCCCAGGCGTGTTCCCCCTGGGTTGTGTGTTTGGTGGTGGGTGCATCCAACTGAGTGTGTATTGGAAGGGTGGAGCTGAGGAAGGACGCTGTGTGTGTTTCCCCCTTGGAGGGCAGGTATAAATGTTTCCCACAGCCCCAATCAGAGACCCATGTCTAAAACTCGGAGGGCCCTCTTCCCCCGGCAGCAGCCCCAGGCCAGGAGGCATGATCCCCATGCGGAGTGGTGAAAGACGTGGGTACATGGTCTGACCCTGTGCGCTTCTCTCATTTCAGACTGCTCTGCGATGACCACAGCAAGGTACCGGCCCACCTGGGACCTGGCCCTCGACCCGCTGGTGTCCTGCAAACTGTGCCTGGGGGAGTACCCCGTGGAGCAGATGACGACCATCGCTCAGTGCCAGTGCATCTTCTGTACTCTGGTTGGTTCCCTGGAGGAGGCCTGTGTACGGCTCAGCCCTGGCTGTCCCTTGGGAAGACACCCAGCTCAGCCTGGAACCCCTTTGGGTTGGGTGTTGGAGTCCCTGACCTGTGGGAGGGAGGCCCCTGTGAGGCCCCTGTGATCGCGGTGCAAAAGCAAAGGGCTTCAACAACTGAGAGGCCAGTGACCTACTTCAGGGAGCTTCCCGTCATAGGTGTTCTTGTAAGAGATTTACTCTGTAACTGTGCCATCCCAGCGTGTGTCCAGCTAGCATGTTGGGTTATAAGTGACGTCTTCCCCCAAATCAGTGCTGACCTGGAGTGGCTGCGTCTTGAACTTCATTGTCTGCTTCCTGAAGGGGCAGCCAGTGTCCCTTTGGGGTCAGATGCTGCATTCCTCATGACCACAGGCACTCTGTGTCAGGGAGTGTCTGTGTTGGGTCTGACTCAGACCCCAATTTTTATTCATCAGAAAATAAAACCGTGTAAGGAAATAAGAGAAAAGAGGGCATAGTTTGGTTCTTTTCCCCAGTCCAGAAAGGTGTGTGGGAAGTCAGTTTGCTGAAGCAGAAATGGAATGGGATTAGCAGAGGCCTGGGCAGGTGTGGTCCAGTGTCCACACTCAGGGTTGCCTCAGGGGGCGAGGTTCCAGGGAGCTGGTGCACAGCCTGGGCTTCAGCTGATGAGCAGGCTGGGGGTCGGGGCTCCTGGACATGATGTGGCGTTTGGAGTCATCTGTCCCTGTGATGCACGGTTGGCTGTCTCATGTTCCTGTAGCAATGGCTCACAGGTGTCCTCACACAGAGGTGATGATGGGTGTTGTGGCAGCGTGGATGGGGTGACCATTTCACCATTCACACACTTTTCTAGACCTCAGATTGCACGTCTTGAATATGAACATTTTGTTCAGTGAATCTGAAGAGTCAAAAACCACACTTGCTGCTTTTAAAAGAGTACCAGAAGGGAAAGTAAAACATCTCTGCAAACCATAACACAACAACCTGCAGGCCCCACGAGAACTGCCTAGCGTGCATGCCCTGCACGGACTGCCTGCCTGAACATCTGCCCAAGTTCTAGATGGCAGCCTGCCTCTGATGTGGGCCTTCCTGTGCCGCACCCTCGGCATGTTCATCCTGTTCACCGGCCAGTGCCACCCTGGTCTTCGTGCTCCCTGTGGTCCCCTGGGGCGTGGGAATGGCACAGGTGCATGCTGGTTCCTCTCCTGCAGAGGGAAGGAGACTGGAGCATGCAGACATTGCCATCCACAAGCTCTGATTTCCCTCCTGGACCAGACTCTGACTTCCTTCAGGGCTGAAGAACTTCTGGCTCCTCTGTCCCCTGTCCCCCAGGGCACCTGGTTTAGTGCAGCGTTGTTGGAAGAGGAGGAAGGCTGGGGTGGGGGTGAGGGTCCTGGGGAGCCAAAAGAGGCTGCCCTCCGTCTGGTCATGGTGGGAAGGAACAGTTGAACTCAGGCTTGATGAAGACTGTGGAAGACATTAGCTTGCTGCTGTCCCCTCCCCTGAAGGCGTGGCTCCATGCTCCACAAGGCACACAGCTCTGCATCTGGGGACTGTCTCTGGATGCCTGCCATCTGTGCAGTGTCCTCTACTGCCCACGCAGTCCATCTGCCATCTATGCAGTGTCCTCTGCTGCCCACGCAGTCCCCTACCTGGTGCCACCAGGCCCTGCTTCATCGCTGCCACTTGAAGCACTTCTTCCTGCCCTTTCTGCCAAGGTTGATGCTGCTGCTGGTGGTAGTATGGTTTGGGGGTTTGAACTTCTGGACAATTGCAGTAGGTCTGGCCCAGATGGAAAGCTGTTGTTGGGTTTGAAGAGAGCAAGCAAGTGCCCTTCTCTCACGGGGGTCTTGGCCAGACCCCCAGAAGCACAGATCCTGGCGGGGATTTAATTTTCCCCACAACTATTTATTACAAATGAAAATGTTAAAAATAGCCCCACTTCTGTCTGCAGCTCGCTGTAGCGTGGTGAATAGGAAGCACCTGTGCGTTGGCAGACAGCGAGAGGGAAGGGTGTCCTGCCAGTTTCCTGGGTCATGCGACATCCGCTCTGCACAGGCTTCTGGCCGTTCTAAGCCATGGGCCTGTGATGGAAAGCAGCCGGGGACCTGGTCCACAGCCCTTGCAAAGGTCCTGTTCCTGGGACCAGATGTGGGAAGGTAAAGTTTCAGAAGACTGAAAAGAAGCATCCTTAAAACATTCTTTAAAAAAAAGTCCACACTTGTGAATTGCAAGGTGGAAGGGCTTCTGGATGTGACGTGGCATTTGGAGTCAGGTGTCCCTGCATTGCAGTGCCAACTCTCTGCAGCATAATTCACCCCGTTTCCATGGTGGAGATGAAGCTGGTTCTGCTCTGAGTTCAGGGGGAAGCCCTTTGTGACTGTTCCTTCCTGGGGCCTTGCAGTCGGCCTCAGCAGGTCACTTTCTGCCATGTTGCTCCTTAGTTTGGGTTTGGAACTGCAGGGATTAAAAAAAAGGGCACCATCTGTCCTAAAAGATATACTCAGAAATTAATCATTTTTTTAAGATTTTTTTTTTTGAAAAGTAGGTTTACAGAGAGAAGGAGAAATGTATGTTATTCATTTGAAAGACAGAGTTGCAAAGAGAGGGCGCAAAAGAATGTTCCATCCGCTGGTTCTTTTCCCACATGGCTGTGTCAGTTGGGGCTGGGCCAGGACAAATTCAGGAGTCAAAAACTTCTTTGTCTGCTGTGTGAGTTCCAGCATCCACGCTCTAGGAGTATCCTCTACTGCTTTCCAAGACAACTAGGTAGACGAATTGAAAGTGGAGCAGCTGGGGCTCAAACTGGCGCTGGTATAGGACGTGGGTACTGTGACCCGTAAGTCACAGCTCCAGGCACAGGATTGGAAGTTTCGATGCCAGCTGCAAAGCTGAACATCTGTGTGCATAAGAGAAAAGTACGTGGCCCGACCATTTCTCTGAAGTTCTGAGAGCAGAAAAAGGGCCTTTGGCTCTTGCTTCAAGTAAGGCAGTCCATTCCTGTTGGGTCTGTCAGCAGTGCCTTTGCATGTCAAGTGGCCTGAGGAACTTGGGGACCAACAGCCTAATGTGGCTGACATGTTAAGCCAGAAGTGGACATGTCAAAGCCCTACTTTGTCCTTGCATCCTTTGGAGGTTAGAATGTTGATCTTGTTTTGTTGGTGGTGGTTGAAAGAACTCAGCCTGACAGCTAACAGGATGGGACATGATGTTCTTGTGTCCCAGATGGGAACAGCTGGTACTCCTGAACGTGAGGTCCCCACACTGAGCTGGAGGCCCCTAGTTAGCTGGGAAGTGGGAATGTTTATTGCTCTGGAAGTACTTAGATGAAGCAGTGTGTAAATAGTTCTCTAACTCTGGAAGCCCAGGTATGTGGTTTGTTTTGTGTATGCTTGGAGCTAGAATGACACCTGTTCTCTCAGATGAGCCATTTCTGGTGGTCAGGAGTGACAGCCTGGATGATGACTTTCAATGGATAAACATGGAGCATTGTCACTGAAAAAAAATAACTTTCAGGAGATGAAATCTGCACACAGAATGCATGGCTGTGAAAACGGCAGCCCTTAGCTGTTGAAGTAACGTGGCAGCAGCTGTGTGGTAGAACAGCGGACATGGATTTAGATGTGTTCCATTGTCCTGCCTTTCCACCTGCTTACTGTGTGATGTTCCTTCATCTGCTTCACGTGCCTCAGGGTCAAGTTCATGAACAGGTTAAAGGGATCGTGTGTGCAGAGAGAGGAGGAGCCTCATGAGAAATGACTCAGCTGTGGGCATGCGCCCTGTGCACAGTGGAAAGGCAGGTTCACAGAAGGTGAGGCAGGGAGAAAGCCACTGGTTTGCTCCCCAAGTGGCTGCAATAGTCAGGGCTGGATGAAGTCAAAACCAAGAGCCAGGAGCCTCATCCAGGTCTCCCACGTGGGTGCAGGGGCTCAAGGCCTTGGAGCATGCTCCACTGCTTTTTCAGCATGTTGGCAGGGAACCAGAAATGAGCAGCTGGGACTTCAGCTGGTGTCCTTATGCGATGCTGGCACTGCAGGTGACAGCCTCTTATTCCAATACTTTTACAAAAGTGACTTCCAGATCAGACTCCTGGGTCTGGGAGTGAAGTGCTTTTCCTACAGCCTCGAGCCAAGGGTCCCTCATGGAATTCCTGTGGAGTTGTACTCCTAAGGCCTTTAGCCACCCTTACTGCAGCTCTGCAGGGCAAGGCTCACCCTGCCTGCTTGCTGGTCAGAGACCAAGTTCACCCAGCAGGCAGCCTTGAAGGAGCGGCATGTAGTTAGCCCACCCTTGGTCTCGAGTGCCCGGCTCTCCTGCTGAGGCACAGAGAGGCAGCTGCTGTCAGGTGTCTGATCATGTCTGTTCCATTCGCATGTTTGTCCATCCATCAGCACCGTGAGTCTGTCCAGCACTGACTCCTTCACCAGCTCTGTGCTAGCTATGGAGAACAGAAAGATGAATCCTAGATAAAGAGCTTTCTTGTAGAAGAGACACGCAAGAACAGATCGTTGATTGTTGATGTCCCTGAATGCTGAGTGCCTCTAGTGGAGCGTGTCCACAACCTGTGGGGCATCACTGCCTGAAGACACAATTTGCCTGACAGGCTCCATCTCCAGTCAGTGACACAGGGCTGGGCCAGGGACTGGCCAGTGCACTGGGCAGTCCGAGTCCCTTCCCCCTTAGACACTGATGTTTGGGGTCCCAGTGCTTGAGAGTGAACCTGCCTGGGCGTGAGTCAGGTTCCTGCTGAGCCAAAGCTGGGATGTGGGCACCTTTAGATGCAGTTTCTGGGCCTCTGCTCCTGCTGTTAGGGTCCACCCGCTTCTCATGGGAACGCCTCTGCCACGGGGGATGGGGCTTAGCGAGTCAGCAGAGCTGTCTGCTCTTGGTGTTCACGGCACTGGAAGCTGCAGTGGAAAATGAAATGCCTGGAACGGTCTGTGGCTCTCGCCACCACTCTCCTCCTTCCCTTTGTGCGCTCCATGCCACGTTTCCTGGAATGCTGTGTTTCCCTGGCTGAGGGACTCACTGCTGGGAAGCCTTCCCTGACCCAGCCTGGCTGTCCCCTTCCTGCACCCCAAGGTGGACCCTTAGAACCCTAGACCCCTCAGAATATTGGGCACAATCCAGGACCAGGTGCTAAAGGTGCCCTTTGACTCTGTGGCCTGGTGGACCTGTGGATTAAATTTGCCCCACTCATTTAAAGTACATATGATTGTTCTACTGGGAGGAAGAGAAGGTAGCCAGACATACTCACGCAGTTGCTTACAGAAGAGGGAGGAACTGAAAATTCCAGTAGTCAGAAAAACCCCGAACACTTCAGTATGGGGCACACGTGGGTCTGAGTTCTGGGACCTCCGTTTACAGAGGATAGGACTCGGCCCTGGTTCTGGTTCTCCCTGCGTCATTCACAAAGCAGGAGGGATGTCACCTCAAACTATTTCGGCACACATTTGCTGGGCTCAGGTGGGTCTCGGGGACTTAGAAGGCTTTGGATTGCTAACACGGTGTCATGCATGTGATAATCAGTGCTGCTGGTCTCTGGCAATGTCTGTCCCCTTGGGAGAGTGCTCATTTCAAAACATCTCTTTGCTATTAGACTGAAGCGCATGAGTCACGACCCCGTTTATGTCTGGAAAGCGTCTGGGCTTGTTTGGGACGGAGGCAGGGCCAGGCACTTGCATCATTGTCTCTTGTAATGTAGTAAACACACTGATATTGCCAGCCCAGATCCCTCTGCAAAATACAAACAGATGACTCCAGATGCAGAGCGCGCTCACTCTCGGGTGGACTCCAGCCCTACATGACACACTGCTCGCTGCCATGTGCGAACTCTGAACCCTGATACCCAGCCTTCCCTGGGCGTGTGTGTCTCATACCAGCTCCAAGGGTAGCATCTTGCTGCTGAGACAGAATGACCTTGTGCTGTGACAGATGGCTCTGGTGGCAGAGTTCTTGCGATGTACTGGTTTAGGACATAGACACCCTCGTCCTCCAGTGACTCTGCGGAGACAGGCTGAATTATTGAAGGTGACATGACGATCTTGCTGCTGAGGGTCTGTTGTGATGGTGAGAAGTGCATCACACAGACGGGTGACAGGGCAGGACATGGGTGCAGGACACGCTGGACCCTGGCTGGTGCTGTGGACTAGACTGCACGGGATCAGTGCCTCCTTCTGCCCCAGGGCCCAACAAGGTGTGCTCCTTCAAGAAGTAGCCATGGTCCAGACTTGTCAGCTGGCTGCCCTGTGGCCGGTGACCACGGGTTCAGTGGCATCTGTTTGGCTGCAAATCGCCTGCTCAGGTGATGCTGCCCTGAGTAGGACATTGCATGTCTCCAGTGCTGTATGCAACGATGGTATCAGCACTTCCCCACCACTGACCAGGGGCATCCCCCATGACCGGTCAGCAGGCTCAGTGTAACTCATCTGTCCCCCTCCTTGTCTTCCATGTCACTTTAAGAAGGCCATTATGTTAACTTCTTTGGACACCCCACAGAGACAGGCACCCGGACTCTGTCCCACTCACACCTGGGTGGCGCTCCTCAGACGCGGCTGTGCTTGTGTGACTGACACGCAGGGTGTCTGCAGCTCTCACAGCCTGGACCCATCACCAGGCTGCAGGCTGGACTCCAGGCCAAGTGCTGCCTTCACCATTGTTCATACTTGCCATTGTGTTCTTCAGAAAACTGTGGTCCATGGCTCTGAGTGTTGGCTTCATTTCTGTCTGTTCAAGATTCCTTTGTGGATGGGAACAATTACCTACTTAGGTCAGATGGATGTTTCAGCCGTCTGCTGTTTTCTGTGTGTTCTCAGCCCTGCTCCTTCCCCCTGCGTACAGTTCTCCCAGCTCCACTGCAAGGCCCGCTTTGCCAGCAAGGAGCAAATGGCTGGCAGAGGGAAACAGGTATCCCAAGCATTGAAAACACTGGATTGCACGCATGTCAGTTCCGGTCACCGTGCTCATCACAGCCCCCTGCATGCTTTTAAAGGGATGTATTCTACAATCTGGGGGCGGAGGCAGCAGCAAGCAACACTCAACCTACGGGCCTTTCCAGATGAGATTCCGCAGGGCTTCGCATTCGGACTGACGGAACGCTGTTGCAGGTGTTGCAGGTGTTGCTGGCTGCGTGCTGAGTTTATTCCTCCCTGTATGGCCCAGTTTCCTGTGCTCCTCCAGGCTCTGGCCTCAGCCCATTCAAGCTTCTGTCTCTAGTTGCCCTTGGTAGTGAACCTGCCTGGAGATGGCTATGATTGTTTTTTTTCCTTCACATGTTGTTTACAAAGAACATTTCGAGGAAACCTTAGCCTTGTCCTAGTAGGTTTTGGAAGGCAAGGGTGACACCTTGAGAGAGGTCATGTCACTCCCTCTGTGTTTGACCTTTTCTCACTCAGCAAGGGGAGGCTGTTGAAGTGTCAAGGAAGAAGGACATGGTGGACTCCCGCGTCTGTAGTGTGCACAGCCAGGGAGTTTTAGCCAAACAAGCTCAGGTTAGTTGGTCAGTTTTCCTGTCTGGAGGATGGAGTTTCTGTAAGAAGGATTAAGTGTAGCAGTGGAGACCCTGCACAGTGTCCGGTGTCTCAGATTTTATGTCCCAGCGTCCTTCGCTGCCTTTTTTCCTGCTGTTGGAGTGATGGCTCTTGGGTTTGCAGAGGTTGTGTGCAGGGATGTAACTCAGCCTTCCCTCCGGGAACTATGATCCCTCTGTGATCACTGGCACGGATCAGTGCTCCATATGCATTGGCTAAGTGACTCAAATCTCTAGTCCTGCTGTTGGTCGTTGCCGTAGGCCATGCGTGACCCGGGAGGGTTTCAATAGAACTGCACATGCCTGACAGTCCATGGATGTCTCTGTTTTTTTTTCAGTGCCTGAAACAGTATGTGGAGCTCTTGATCAAAGAAGGGTTAGAAACTGCAATCAGCTGCCCAGATGCTGCCTGCCCCAAACAGGGCCACCTGCAGGAGAATGAGGTACGTGTGTGGGAAGAGGCTGGGCCTGTGTCTGTGTGCTGGTGTGCTGTGTGTGTACGCAGGAATGAGGCAGGCTTGTTCCATGTCTGTTGTGCTGCATGCAGGTCTGGTTTGCTCCATGCCTGCTGGTCTACTGCGTGTGCCTGGGCAAGGGCTGCATTTACCATGTGTGTTGGAGTGCTGCGTGTGCCTGGGCGAGGGCTGGGTTTACTGTGTGTCGGAGTGCTGCATGTGCCTGGGCGAGGGCTGGGTTTACCATGTGTGTCGGAGTGCTGCGTGTGCCTGGGCGAGGGCTGGGTTTACCGAATGTGTCGGAGTGCTGCATGTGCCTGGGTGAGGGCTGGGTTTACCATATGTGTTGGAGTGCTGCGTGTGCCTGGGCGAGGGCTGGGTTTACTGTGTGTCGGAGTGCTGCGTGTACCTGGGCGAGGGCTGGTTTACCATGTGTGCTGGTTGGCTGTGCTCAGCCATCACAGTTTTGGGGCTTCTGTGCTACAGTCTGACCCTCAGCTTGTTACACCGCTGGCTTGTACTTTTTCCTCTTAGATTGAATGCATGGTTGCAGCTGAAATTATGCAAAGATACAAAAAGCTACAATTTGAAAGAGGTAAGTGCCAAGTATACTTGGCAGTTTAATGATTCCTTGTAGCAGAATGTAGGTAACTGTGGAGCAGGTTCTTTTGGGAGTCCCAACTGCAGGTCATTTGCTAGGAGTGGCGCAATGGCAATGAGAGTGAAAACGCTTCCAAAATGCAATCGCTATCCAGATTCTCAGAAGTTCACGGTTTGAAAGCCATGATGGCTGGGCATCTGTCTGGTGCCAAGAAGACTTTACGACACATAATCTGTTTATTATTTTGTTTATCATGTTCGGGGCCTTTTGGGGTGGTTTAAAGAGGTGGCACCCTCAGTGGGTTGAATTCTTCAGCAGGACTAAGGTTAGAGAGCAGAGGACCGAGTCTTGCCAGCCCTTAATTCACGAAACACAAAGGCTGGAAGGAAGCCCGGAGGTGGAGTGTGGGGCTAGCTTCCCAACCCCCCAGGTGATGGTCAGAGCTGGGGGTCTGCTGCCCAGGCTGCAGCTGGCCAAGGTGCTGGTCCAGCAGTGGACTGTAAGCAGTCCTGTGAGACGAGCTGAGCTGTCAGCATCTCCCACTCATGGTGAGGAAGACTGTCTGACTTCCCTGCGTTCCAGTGGCATCCTCACTCTGCCACCTGTCCCACTGGGTCCTCCACACCCTTCCTGGCTGGGCACAGGCCTGATGAGGACAGAGACCACCCCTTCCATTCCTCCTGGAGGAGTGAGAGAGGGGATCAGGTGCGAGTGGGCACCCAGCTGGGGGAACGAGATTTTCAGGGTGGTGTGGCAAGGTGTTTGGCGGGTCACACATTGAGTGTCCGAGGTCAGAGGGGCTGTGACCTTTGCCCTCTTCAGTGCCTAGGATCTTAAAATGGTATTTGAGGTAAGAAGTATGGGCTGCACGTGGCCTTGTTCTAAAGTATCCTGGGCCTCAAGCTCACCAACAGAAGAGCAGGCTGGCTAGCCTGTGACACTGCAGGAGTCAATGTGAGGACCGGGTCAGTGTGAGGACCGGGTCAGCAGGGCCCTGGATCCCCTTTCTGTCTGTCACGAGGACCGGGTCGGTAGGGCCCTGGATCCCCGGTCCGTCTGTCATGGGGACTGGGTCAGCAGGGCCCCAGATCCCCCTTCTGTCTGTCACGAGGACCGGGTCGGTAGGGCCCTGGATCCCTAGTCCGTCTGTCACGAGGATCAGGGCAGCAAGATCCCGGATGCCCACACCATACGTTGCAGTGGCATCTGCTCCCCTCTGTCTTGACCGCTGCCCAGGTTGTCACCTACATCAGCACCTGCTCCCTGGGTGACCAAGGCACCTGATAACTGTGCAAGCGGGCATGGGAGTGACACAGGCAGGATCCGAATCCTAGAGTCGCTGTATGTGGGTGGGTTGAACTAAATACTACCATATTTATTTTTGAGGTTTATTTAAGAGAGGATTTATTTATTCCAAAGGCAAGGCAACAGAGTGAGGAGGGAGGTTGGGGAGGGGAGAGATTGAGAGGCGCAGTCTGCTGGTTCACTCCCCAGGTGGCTGCAGCAGCTGGAAGCCAGGGGCTTCATCCTTCTGCTGTCTCCCAGGGGCGTTAGCAGAGTCGCTAAGATGCTGACCTGTCCTCTGATGTGGGATAGGGTGTCTCAGGTCCTGGCATAGCCTCCTGTGCCACACTGCACACTGCCAGCCTTGAGAGACAATGGGGTAGGTCCAACTTTACAAGTGCCATCAAGCCGGGAAAGAGGGCTTGGGCTGGTCCTCAAGTGTGCTTTCTTAGCCTGCCTGGGTCGTCGGCTTCAGGCAGCTTGAGGGCAGAGGTGCGTGTGGCCGGAGCAGGGCAGTAGATCTGTTTAGATTCCTCAGCCTTTCAGGCTCTTTAGAAAATGTTTCCCAGGGCGGATCTTACACAGCAATGAGCAGCGCAAGAACTCCATGTGGCATTGGAGTTCACTCTAACAGTTCAGCCAGCACACCTCCCTCCCTCCCAGGACTTCCAGCTATTGCTCCTGCTTCATACTTGGGCTCAGGCAAAAAGTTGCTCTTTCTCTTCTTTTGCCTAAAAATGAAGCCGACTTGGCTCACTTAAAAAAACAAAACAAAACAAAAAACCAAAAAATAAAACTCAGACTAATGCCACTCTAAAATGTTTTCCTAATATTAAGTTATAAGTTTTAAAAAATGACTCAGACTGAATCCCACAAACCCGCCTATGTGAAATGTGAGAGCTTTCAAGCTCGGTTACAGCTGAGGGTTAGAGCCGGGTCCTTGGGCCAGCTTGGGGGGGGTATGATCAGAAGGAGGGTTTTTTCTGCCCTGAAATACCCTTGGTTTGCAGTCAGTGGAGGACACTCTGGGGTGAGCTTGGTCAGTGGTTTCCTGAAGACGTTCCATGACCACAAAGTCTCCTGCTGCCTGTGACCCACACATCCCCACTCAGTCTTGGTATCTCCTTAGCCTAAAAACCTCGGTTTAGTTTAATTGTTTCCATTTCTCCAGCCAGGGTCCCTGGCCAGCAAATGTGGCTGTCATATCTGGGGGTGGGAACTGGCTTTCTGAGAAAAGTGACATGCGCCACTATGGCTGTGTGCCCTGGCCTCCTCGTCCACTCCCCCAGGCAGGCGACAAGTGTCACCTGATCTGCAAACCCAGGCAACCCACAGGCACGGCATGGTTTATGCAGTTCTTGTGCCGTAAGAAAGCCTGGTGAAAGGTGTCAGGTGCCGTCTGGTCTTGTGTGGTTTTTGTGTTTTTTTGCAGAGCAAAGTCCAGTTAGAGGGATTAAGTCATGTGCCGATGGTTATCTGTCAGCATCAGGCCTGGCTGCAACCTGGGCCCCCTGACCGTCATAGCAGGGTCACGGGGTCACACCCAGCATCCAAGGCCACCACCAGGACAGCACCACTAGCCAGGCAGGCAGTCAGAACATGAGTGGAGATGGCCAGGTGCTTGATTTTGGATGTGAAATCTGCCTCTCAGAGCATCTGTTTAGTAGAAGTGGTCAGCTGATTGGGTCCGCTTATCTAGTGCATAGCCTTTGGGAGAGTGGAGTTAAGACTGCTTCGCATGGAAATCCCCCATGCATCCAGAGGGGTACAAGGTGGTGGGTGTGCCAGCCAGGCGTGGGTCTCACCCAGCTGCGTGTGCTAAGGAGACTGTGCCCTGAACATAGAGACTCTAGGAGAAAAGCTGGCACCTCTCGCCTGCTCTGGGATTTCTCACTCACTGGGTCCCATATGGGCAAGGTGCAGAGTGCAGCAGGGCAAGGCAGGTGAGAACAGGAAGCAGAGTGGAAGTCAGGAGGCTGGCCTGTACCCACGGTGTGAAGGGTGCTGGAGGCCTCAGGCTGCTGCCCTCCACCCTGCTGGCAAAGACTGTAGACTGTCTCGTGGGGACACACAGCGTCCAGCTATGCCCTGGCTCCATGAAGATGCAAGTCACTAAATGGAAGTTGTTACCATGGAAACACTGTCCAGGGCTCCGTTTGGCTCCAGTCCATGATCTAATGGGGCCTTTCATGACAAGGGAGTATAATCACAAGTAGCAGTTAGCTCTGACTGAGTGTGCGCCTGGCAGGAGCTTGGGGAGACGTGGGCTCCTCTCTGTGTCAAGGCCCCTGGGAGCCCACGAAGAAGCAGGGATGCAGGAGAGGCTGGGAGGGTCAGAGGCCAGTGATGTGGTCCAGCTCTGCTCTCAGCACCCTGTTGTGGGGAACAAAGCCAGGCAGTCTGAGGTGTCTTCTCCTACGTGTGTGTGTTGTTCAGGACCTTGACTGTCAGCATCCTGTGGAGTCTGGGCACTGGGCAGGGTGTCACCCCACTCCCCCAGCACCCTCACAGGAGGCACAGGGCTGTGTGGTTCAGGGGCTGGCTGGGGTGGAGGAGGTGATTCAGTGTGAGTGAGGGGTGTTGGGGCTGGCTGGTGGTGTCCAGGGTGGTGGACTGCGAGGACACTGCTCTTAAAGGAAGCAAAACTGCCTGGGGCTGCTGTCCTTATGCGTGCTTGGCAGGCAACAATGGCTTTCCTGAAAAGCCACCTCCTGGGATCTGACAGCAAGGAACATTCCTAGAAAAGCTGACGTCAAGGCTGTCTGCTGACAGGAGCTAACGGGTCTCACTGGACACAGCTGCCTGCATTGCAGTGGAAGCTGCTGACGGAAGGACAGTTGCCGAGCTCTGTGGCTCCTACATGCTGCTCTCCTCTTCCCATTCCTCCTGCTGGAGAGCTGCTTGATTAGTTTTCTGTAGAAAGCTAGAAGAGAACGAGGAGTAGGTGGCTGGAACAGGAGTTGGCCAGGGCGGCCTCTGGAGACAGCTGCTGAGCTCTGCTAAGTATTCCTTTCTGAGGCTCCATGTCTGCTTTGTGGCTTCTATAGCAAGCTGAGCCGTGTATGCAGAAGGCAGGACCCACACAGAGTTACCCCAGCCCTCCTGGGGCAGGTGACATAGGTGTCTCAGACTTCTGAACCTGTACTTGGAGAATGGGGCAGACGCCAGGGCGGGCACATTGATGATGAACTCAGCATCAGAGAGTTTGAGAAAGTTGTGCACCATCCTTTTTATCCTGGCTTTCTGCACACTTGGAAAGCCCCTGGTGCAGGCCTGAGTGTGCTCAGGGCCCTGCAACTGGTGAGTTAGGGGCAAACAGTTGCCTGCTGGGGGGGCCAGGGCTCAGGGCTAGCTGGGCTTGTCCAGGGTCTTTTGTTATCGTCTTGGTTTCCTGCAGGTCCAGGTGTGCCCCTTCCTTCCCAGGAATGGTCCTGCAGAGAAGCCCCGAGCCAGGGGCCCGCTGGAAAGCCCTGTGGAGCAGCCCTTCACTTTGTGCTGCCATGCTTCTGGCAGAGCGTCTTGTTCCATAGGGCTCCTCCCACCTGCCCCTCATTTAGATTTCAGTGGCATTCTGAACAAGAAGGAAAATAGGACAGATGGCTAGGCTCACGACCTGGGGCCACACAGGACCCATTGTTCAAATCAATGCAGTGTTTGGACAAGGATGTGGAGGGCCTGGACTGCCAACGTATCCTATTTATTTAAAAAGCATGCATTTAATGGGGCTCCTCATTTCAGAGGGAAACTGACTAATGCGCCGAGTTTCATTCTTCAGGGAGGATGGTTCCACTGTCGTCCTCACTCGTTTTCCTGAAGTTGGCAGTGTGCTCTGCCCAGAGAGGCAGGCCAGGAGCCACAGTGGGTCGATCTTTCAGAGCGTGGGACCTGAGGATGGTGTGCTGAACGTGGGAGGGCACGCGGGGTCTCCCAGGGCCCCTTGCATTCTGGGTGCAGGCAGAGGACACTTGAGGACACCTTGGGTGCCTGGAGACTGCCATTGCCCTGTGGGAGTGGAGGGGTGGTGGGAACACTGGATGGGTGGTAGAGGGTACAGTGGTCAGAGCCAGGACGGCCAGTCATATTGGACCGCATTGCCGTGATAGCAGTCGTGTTTGAATACGCTGCCGTGACAGCCCATCAGGTGTGACCGCTGCTGTCATGTGCTGCCATGTCTGACTGCAGTCTCTCAAAGGACTCCTTTCTGATAAGGATCTCGAGGAAGGTGCCAGGGAGCCCGTGCCGAACCCCAAACCCTCCTGGCTTTGATGTGTCTCTTTTCTTCCCTGTGCCAGAGGTGCTGTTTGACCCCTGTCGTACATGGTGCCCAGCATCTACCTGCCAGGCTGTGTGCCAGCTCCAGGACCTGGGACTGCAGACCCCCCAGCTCGTTCAGTGCAAGGCCTGCGACATGGAGTTCTGCTCAGCCTGCAAAGCCCGCTGGCACCCTGGCCAAGGCTGTCCAGAGACCATGCCCATCACCTTCCTCCCTGGAGAGAGCAGGTAGGTGGTTGCTGCTGCAGAGGGTATGGGCAGCAGGAGGAGCCTGGGAGAAGCAGGGTGGGCGACAGGGCTGTGGCTAGATGATCCCCAATACGCACTCTCTTGAGTTTCATTAGAACTGACCGTGCTGGGAAAGCACACCTGTGTGCAGTCCATAGCTGGAAGAACATACTTGTGTGTCAGTAAGAGCACACGTGTGCTGTGTATTCATCAGTACATTGTGTGTAGTACCTGCTGTGTAGGATTTTAAGCTATCAGATATCTGAGCTTTTTGCATGACCCCACTGTGTTGAGGAGATCCAAAAGGGAGTTACAGACACAGGAGGGTGGGGGCCAGGATTTAAACTCTGGGAATGTTGTCCAAAACAGGATTGCGTCTTCTGGAGGCTGGGGGTTGTGTCTCGCTCTGTTTCCTTGTGTTCCGGGGAGGTTGTGGAGACACTCTTGTGTCTCCGTCCTCTCCTCTGAGTAGCCGTACGGCTGAACTGTTGGCCCGGTGGACACTGCGGCATCGTCCTGTTGATCAGTGGGCCCATGAAACATTGCTGCAAGCTGAGACTCTGTCCCACAGCATCTAGGGGGTCACAGCGTGTGGCTCACCCAGGGTTTTGAGGCCAGTTTCCGTGGCTGTCTTCACCCATCTGACCATCTTCCCAACTTCTCCCTGCTTTGCTTTCCTTGCATCAGCTGCTCAGCCACAGGGCTCTCAGCACCGCTGCCAGCCCTCCTTGTCCACTCCCAGGTGCACTTTCGCTCCCATGCCTGCCACTCTCCTACCATGCCCTCTGCCTCTTTCCGCCCTCCAGCACAGAGCCTGCATCCCCTGTGTCGAAATCCAATCCCCAGAGCAGGGTAGTTGCCTCCACCCTCTGTGTTTCTATGGAAATTGTGTGTGGATTACGGCCCTGGCCAACCTGTGTCTCAGTTCACCTGCCAACAGGCTGAGCCACCTCGCTGCTCCTCCAACATTAGCAAGCACACTTTAATCAGACTTAGAGCTGTTAAAAGAAGAAGCGTGCCCCTTGCTTACTGGGATTTAACTCATTGGCAGGGCTTGGTTTCCTCAGTGGGGGAGGGTGAAGAGAAGGCACAATGGGGCGGGAGAAGCCCCATTTCACAAACACGTTCATGGCCTGCATTGTGTCCAGCGCAGGCCAGGAGTGAGGAGAAGCCAGAACCTCTGCCTGTTGGGATGCAGGTGCCCCAGCCATGCTTCTGTAAGTCAAACCCTCTTTTAGGGGAGGAACCCTACAGAGTCTGAGGGTTGGTTTTTCTATCCCACGAGGACAATTAAAATTAATTCACAAATCTCATTTTGAGGCAATTTGACAAATCAGAAGATTTCACATAAAAATGGCTCCCCTGGGAGAGGTATAAGTACAACCATACTGACCGCCACTCCGTGCACTCCTGGTCAGTGGAGCAGCGGCCCCCTGCTGAAGGGGCCTGAGGCAGGAAGCCAGGGCCCTCAGCGCTCCCCACCTCCCTGAGCACAGGCAGAATGCATCTAGCGGGGAGATGCCCAGCTGCTCTTCTTGTCGCGGGGTCTCCTTAAGGTTAGCTTTCCCCTGTTCCTGTGCTTCGGCTCCCACCTGCCCAGTGTTCTGGCGTGCCCTGCGGGGATGCCAGATCCCGAGGATGTGACTCAAGACTGCAGAATGCATCTGTGCTGTGCATTGGACGTGCTCCTAGTAAACCAGATGCCGGAGCGTGTCTATAAGCCATCCTTGCCACCACACACATTTCTGTGCACGGAGCCTGCAGACTATAGTTGGCTCCGTTTTCAGCAGTTTCCCCTGCTGCAGGGGGTCACTCTCTGCTCATGCATTCATGTCGAACTTGGCCTCCCAGTCACTTGAGCATGCCATTCCTGGCTTTCACAACGCTACATTATTGACCAGAATTCAAAACCAACCTTGGTTGTGGGATTTGGTGTGTTTGAAGGGGAGGCCAGGGTTACACCTGCTGGAGGCACTTGCCCGGGTGTAGAATCAGCATCTCTTCATTGAACACCCACTCTGTGCAGCCCACTTGGCTTGTTAAACTGGAGTCAATTTTGAGCTACAGTTTTATTATCATTTAATAACCGTGTTGATAATGGCCGTTGTTTGTTGAGTGCTTACTAGGTACGTGCGAGTGGTGCACCTGTGTTTGTACCTTGTGTGAACTCTTCAGTTGTTCCTCTCCCTGTGGCTCTGGCCCACTGATGCCCTCCAGAGCTGCTTCTCCACTCCCTGACCAGATAGAATCACCTTCAGCCCAAATGCGAGCCTCGTGCAGGACAGCCCATGAACTTGCCCATTAAGAAGGTTCACAGCTCCTCATCAAGTGGCCTACCCCAAAGGGAAACTGTATTTAAATCTTACTCTCATGATGCTTGTGGAGAGAGTGCAGCCAGAACACACTCAAAGTGCCGATCCTTTCTCAGCTGGAGTGGATCTCTCCCGTACCTCAACAGGAGGTGTTTCCCTTGGTCCTGTTAGGTGTGTAGTTGGTTCCCCTTGCTCCTCTTAGGTGCTGTGTAGTTGGTTTCCTTTGATTCTGTTACGTGTATAGTCGGATTCTTTTGGTTCTATTAGGGGCTGTGTAGTTGGCTGAACTAATAGAGCCCTCCCAAGTAGGGATACTGTTTTCTCTCCAGCTGGCCTGTTACCCTGGCAGGTCTTCTCACCATGTCTCGAGTCACAAGTGATGGGCATGCTTCCCCCCTTGGGCCTCATTGTGTGGCTGCCTCAGGTCCTTGCTGTCTCCTGCTATATGCTGTGCATAAGGCAGCCACTGCTTGTGCTCCGAGGCCTCATCTTCCCCAGGCTCACGTGGTGCAGTTCGGAGATGCTCACTCAGCCTGTTTGTGACCAGTGTTTGTCCCTGGTTGACAAGACCTCCATGGAACCAACCACACCAGACTTCTTAGAAAAGCAGTTTGTTTAGACAAAAAGCAGTTATGTCTGTCTAAGCAAAAACTGGGCATGTGTAGGGTATGCTTGTGTGTGTGTGTGTCTACATGTCTGTAGCAGATATTTTTCCAATAATAGCAAAGTGCATTGGGTACTGACACAGTAGTTGTACCCAGACACTCGATGTCTGCCCTTTGCCGTATTTTCTTTGGTGTGTCTGTACATGTATGCATTCAAATAGATGCTGACTTTGCTGTTTTTTCTGAAATCGGAAAGATTGATTCCCAGGCTTTAGACTATTTTTCTGGAGTTCCTGTTTCTTCATTTTATTTCACTTAATAAATGGAGGCCCTCGGTCCTGACTGTCAAGTGCACGCACGCATGCCACGTGGCCACACTGCAGCGTGCAGCCACACAACGCCACCCTAACCGGGCGCAAGCCTCACACGCTGTCTCCCACAGTGCCACGTTCAAGCTGGGAGAGGATGACGCATCCATCAAGCGCTGCCCCAAGTGCAAAGTCTACATCGAGCGTGATGAAGGGTGTGCTCAGATGATGTGCAAGAACTGCAAGCACGCCTTCTGCTGGTACTGCCTGGAGTCCCTGGATGTGAGTACCGCCCCCTCCTGCCCTGCTGCCCTCAGCTGTGCTGAGCCTGAGAACAGAGCTCCGCGGAGAAAGGACACCGTTTGTTGCTGAGTGTGCTGGCTTACAGCGTGCAGTACTACCAGAGGGCCTTAGCTCGGGCAGGGAGCCTGGCCCGGGCTTGGGATTCAGTGTGGGCGTTAAAGGCCTGTTCAGGAATTCTGTAAAGAGATGATCTAGACCATGTGGCTTCAGCCACAGCTATTTTTGCCTGAAGGCTCTTCAGACTGGGGGTATCTGGGTAGGGTGAGGGTTCCTCACTGGGTTTTGGAGGCTGCTTTCTCACCGTCTCCCCCATGGCAGAAGATGTGAGCTCTGGTATCCTTTTCTTATTGAAGTACCCAGGTTCTGTGTCAGAGGGGCTGCCCGTCAGGGCCTGTGCAGGTGCCATGTCAGGCCCTGCTCACGCCACCTTCAGTGAAGGCCTTTCCCCAACAAGGGTCTGTTAGGGCGATAGTGCAGACAAACAGCCTGGAGCTGGCCAGGCATGAGACAGCTTCCGGGCGTGGCAACACCCACATCGTCTACAACCGACCAACGTTTCCTGCGTTGGTCGGCCCGTGCTGTGTGGCAGTGTGGCAGTGTGGCCAGTGCACTGGGAGCCCTGTGCCGCAGGGCTGTTGGGAGGTGAGGGTGGAAATGCAGGCCCCCAGGGTCTGCGCCCTGCAGGAGGCCGTCCCCGATTTCCCTTCCAGGTTGGAGGCCCCGAGGCACAGGCTGCTGCACGCATAGCCCCTGGCAGTTACAGGCTCTGTTTCCTTCTGGCTGTAGCCCTTCTGCACAGGGACCCATCTCCAGTTCTCAACTTCCCACAGAGGGGGCGGGGTTGTGCAGCTTATTTTCTCCTTCATTTATTTTTTTTTCAAGGGTTGGGATAAAATGGTCTTAGAATGAGAGCGTCATGGCGGTCCAGCACTGTACTGCCAGCTCCACACGCCTGCTTTGTTTAACATGTGTGGCATTCCTGTGACTGGCAGTAATTGTTTCATGCTTCCCTTAAAAAGAAAAAAAGAAAGAAAGAAAATGCTGAGTTTTATTTATTTATTTTTTATTTTATTATTTTTTTTTACAGAGAGAGAGAAAGAGTCAGGGCTATGCTATATCAAGTCCAGGAACCCAGAGCGTCTCCCAGGTCTCCCATGTGGGTGTGTGTTCAGAGGCCAAGCTATTGGCTTCTCTGTCAGCACTTTTCCCAGGTGTATTTGCAGGGCATTGGGTCAGAAGTGGAACAGCCAGATCTGAAATCGGCTGCCCTATGGGATGCCTGTCTTGTAGGCGGCAGCTTGGCCTGCCGTACCACAGCGCCATTCGCTTCTTGTGCTTTTGAGAGGTCAGCAGGCAGGAATGGGAGGCCGGCCTCTGCTCTGACTCCGGGGACCACCTGCCGCCTCCCTTCAGCGTTTGGCAGAAAGCTGTAAGCTGCAGGGAGTGTGTTCAGCCTCTCTTTTCTGAGCATCTCCCCAGCTGTGCCTCTGGTGCCAGGCACCGCTGCTCCCCTTTCAGGACGTTTCATGAAGGTTCTCTGAACAGTAAAAAATGGGAATGTGTGTGCTGTGGACACAGAGCCAGCTTCTCGGCACCTCCGGGACCGTCACTGGATCTTATTCCTGGCAATAAATAAATAGTAAATAAACAATGCAAATGCTACCCAGACATGGCTGTGAGGAGGGTCACTTGCAATGGATGTGAGTCTACCTATAGCCAGGGGAGGCAGCCAGGCCCTGGTCCAGACATAGGGACAGCTGAGGGACACATGACTGGGATATGCTCAGCTGGGCGAGGGAAAGACTGCTGACCCAGAGCTCCCAAAGATACAAATGTGAACAAGAAGGACTTGAGATTACCCATGGCTGAGCAGGCACAAATGCTGGGAAGTGAACCCAGTACTGGTCCTGCAGCTGTGGGTCCCAGACTGGGTACTCTGGCCTCCAGCACCAGGTCCTGTGCTTCGCGAGCAGATTCCAAGGATCCCAGCCACGTGGTGTTCTGCATATCACTGGTGACTCAGGTGGTTCCAGTATGCACGCCTGGTGGCCCTAGTGGTCAGTTTTTCACCCCTCACAGGGGATTGGCTAAGAAACAACAGCATCATGGGACACCTCACCTCCAGGGTGAGTTGGCCCTTGGCTGCCTCTGTGAGTGTGGGGCGTTGCAGAGGGAGGTTCCTGTGAGAGCCAGGGGCAGTCAGCGTGTGTCCAGATGGGCTCTCCTGGAGCTGCCTTCCTAGCGTGACATAAAAGGCTCTCAGCAGGCTCACTCTGCACCTGAGTGAAGCCCACAGCCTGTACGCATTGCTAACTTGGGATTTGACATCCTGTGTAAGTGAGCACCAGATCTTGTGCAGACCCTCCGCACAGCCCTGTGTACGCATGAGGCATGTTCTCTGTGAGCTGCAGAGCTAGCCCCTGTGGCTGAGGAGGCTCTTGGAGCTGAAGCCTGAATTCTGTCCCCCAAAGCCTGCTGGCTCCCCAAGCCAGCTGTGCCCCTGGGTGCTCCATGGAGAGCAGTTGGAGGTCCTGGGGCCTGTTGGCCTAAACGCCAAGCTGCCTGCGTGGCTGACTCCCTTCTGTGTCTCCAGTCACCTGGACCACAGCAATACCCCACTCATGGCTGCTTTCTCTCTCCACACACACCCCATCCCCAGGACGACTTCCTCCTGATCCATTACGACAAGGGACCCTGCCGCAACAAGCTGGGCCATTCACGCGCCTCTGTGATCTGGCATCGGACCCAGGTAGGGGGGCAAACGGGGCTTTGCCCTCGAGAGAGAATGTGCATGGGTATGTGTAGGTTCCGAAGGCATGCCAGGTGCTCAGGTGCTGGGTGGATGGGCAGAGGTGCCTGGGGTGGCTGCTGTTCTGCAGTCGTTCCCATTGGCCCAGAGCTGGAGTGTGTACACGCACCTTGAGCACGCACGGTGGAGAAGAGCTGACTTTGGGTGCGTGCTTTTCAAGGCCTCTGCCGTGGTCCGGCTGTAGTTGATTCCTCGTGAGAGCCATCTTTCCGAGAGTAGCGTGTTGGAGAGGGGGAGCTCAACAAGGAAAGAGCTGCAGTGAACCCTGAGTTACAACACCTGCATAGTCTGCTCTGGGGTGTGCACACCGGGGAGTGAGATGAGCATCCCTCCCTTAGGGAGCTGACATTCTCTTCTCAGAGGTGGTGACCCAGCTGCGGCTGGAGGAGGGTATGGCAGCTGGAATGTTTCCAGCAGCCCCTGGGGGGTGGTACCCAAGTCAGGGAGCTGCTGCGAGCGCACCCAAGGCAGGACTGAGCTGGTGCCAGGGTGGGCCTTGGACCCCCAGAGAGGGGTGCTGTGGACAGAGTAGGACAGATGGGTGGCAGGCTGCTGTGAGATGTTGGCTGTTTCTTCTGAGCAGAGTGGAGGGTGCCAAGCGAGTCAAGGATTTCTCTCTGGAGCCTCTGAGGTGGGTGGGCTTGGTCGCCCAGCCTCAGACTTGGAGAAGCCCAGGCCCTCAGCAGTGGCCAGGCCGCAAAGGGAGACCACGGCTGCATTTCTTCCACTTACCCCGGTATGAGTGCCTGAGTGAACTGTGGAGTCCCTCAGGGGCCTGGCAGCCAAGTGCTCTCCGATGACCATCGTTTAGGCTTGGCAATGGAGTAGCCATGACCATGTGTGTAGCTCCATCTGCAGGACCAGGTGACAGCTGTTGTGGTGGCAGGTAGCTCAGTGGAGTCACCAGTGACCACCTAGCTGTGCCTTTCCTTGGGTGACCTATGTAGTATCCCAACTGTCCATCAGGGGAGGGATGCTGTGCACTGGCAGGCCCCACCCTGTGTAGACACCCCAGGATGCTGTGCACTGGCAGGCCCCACCCTGTGTAGACACCCCAGGATGCTGTGCACTGGCAGGCCCCACCCTGTGAGCACACCCCAGGATGCTGTGCACTGGCAGGCCCCACCCTATGTAGACTTCCCTCTTCAGTCCTCAGTGGGTGGTTCTTGAGCTCTCCAGTTTCAACCAGCCCCCTGGCACTCTGGAGGCCAGTAGTAACTGGGGTCCTTGTGGCCCTGCAGATTCTGCCAGTCAGGCCCATCCAGGGGCTGGGCATGTTGAGATCCTCTCTGTGCAGGCATCCCCTCCCCGCTCTCCTGCAGACTGCTGCTCTGGGAGCCTGGGCATGGCCTTGGGCAGAGTGGTAAGGACCCTGTGACTCACAGTTTAGCTTTGTGTTTATCCAGAGCTCTTTAGGCAGCAGAGCAGCCTCATTATCTCTCATCAGCTTCTTTGCAAAGAGCTCTTTGTTGAAGGTTTACAGAGCTTGCTACAGCCTAGGGGTGATAATGGACAAAGCTCTGGGCTCCTGGGCCTCATTGTGGGCCAGATTCCCTCCAGGACTCAGCCCTGAGACCCCAGCCTCATGCTCCCCGCCACCACCACCACCAGGTCTTCACCTCGCCCTTTCCCTACAGGTGCCCAGCTCTGTGTGTGTCTGTTCTCCGCTGAGACCTGCTCACACCCTGAGCCTTGGCAGGCCCTCTCACGTGCCCAGTCCCACTCTCAGCATCAGCGTTGACAGGGGCACCTCTTCTTTTCTGGTATTCTTCGCTGGCGGGGGTGCTTTTCTAGTCTTTGTCGCCTCCCTGGCTTGGGACCAAACAATGGAAAAGTCTGGAGGAGCCTGCTGCCTCCTGTGGCTGGTGTGCAGCGCCCCCTGCAAGCGGTGGTGCTTCCTACACACGGCCAAGTCGTCCAGTAGCCGTGTCTTTGCTGGTAAGCCACACACTGTCACACTGTCCTGTGATGGTGGCTGGCTGCATGTTCTCATTTTGCTCCAACTGTGGGTATGAAGCAGGTGGGAGAGGAGGAACTGGAGGCACTGTGTTGGACAGGCGGTCGTGGTTCCATGGCCGACCCTCCGTTTGCCTCTCAGAAGCAGGTCCATCCAGGTACTGCTTGGCAAGTTCCTCCCTGCCTGGTATTCTGGGTCCTCGTGCCCCTACTGCCACCTGCTGCTCCAGTTGCTCCCCATGCACTCCCAGATGCAGCTGGTGGCCAAAGCTTGCAGGGCTGTGTGAGATTGTGAGGCAGGCTGAGAAGGGAGGAAGGCCTGGGAGGTATCAGAGCAGCAGGGTGAAGTGCGCAGGGATGCTGGAGTTGGAGAAAGCATAGGCGAGGACGTGAGCAGGGAGAACTAAGTGGGAGTCTCTAGGGATGTAGCTGACAGAGGGCAGAGTGGACAGAGTCAACATGCAGACTTGTAGACGGCACTAGGGAGCAACAGAAGCTTTTAGAACAGCACAGTTGCCTTGTGACCTCTGCCATGAGAGCTGGTTGCCTGCCATCTCGCCTCCTCGCCCTTTCAGCCTCATTCCTGTCTCTACATAGGAGCCTCCCATCTGTGGGTGGCATTCAGAACCTGCATCACTTGTGCCTCTCCTCACTTCACCTGCTCCATCAAATCCTACCCATCCGCTGTCCACTTGCCGCCGAGGGTTTGGCCCAGGCCACCTCCTCCAGGCATCCTCAGGGTGACACCCAAGGAGTGACACATAGGTGTGTCTGTGACCTCATTTCCTGCTTGCATATTATCCCCATCCTCTGATTGCTGCAACTGGCTTCACTGTACACACAGGGCAGGTGAGGTGCCCCTTGCACAGGTTGCGCCGTGGCTGACTTCCTCCAGAGTTGGGCTTTCTAAGCAACTTCTCTCTCACTCAGAACCTCACCATGAAACCCCACAGTACCCTTGGGGTACAGGTGTGTCACTTGTCAGTGGAGATGCTGCTCAGTGTAGCCACTAACTCCAGCGCCCTGTGACTGCAGACCCTGGCAGGCAGTGGTGATCTCCGCTGGCTGGGCCCCTGCCAACCACATGGTGCATCTGGCCAGAGTTCTTGCTTTGGGCTGCAGAGTTCTTGTGCTTTCCTTGTCTCTTTCTCCCTCAAGACTGTGTGCTGAGCATCTGAGCTCACAATCACGTGGTATTCTTTGATGCTTTTACAGGGTTCCCGCTCCCTAATTCTTCCAATCTGGAGGTCTGAAGCTCGGTGAGGTCACTGTAGATTTGGAGGAAGGCCAAGGCTATTGTGGGTTGCTTGATGACTTATAGAAGCAATGGCATGACACACTACGTACATTTTTACCTGACACCTTTGTCAGCTGACCCTTTCCAGTAAGAGTTCACACCATGAATAGAAAGCTGGGTCTGCCTTGTGTGAAGGTTTCCTGTGTTTTTGTTGTTGTTGTTGTTTGTTTGTTTGTTTTAAGATTTTGTGTTTGAAAGCTACAGAGAGAGCAAGGATCTCCCATCTGGTGCTTCACTGCCCAGGTTGCTGCCATCCAAGGATAGGTTAAACCAAAGCCAGGATCCTGAGCTGCTTTCAGGTCTGCCACATGGGTGGCAGAGGCCCGAGCGCTTGGGCCATCAGGAACAATAGCAGGAAACAGCATTGGAAGTGGAATAGCTGGTACAAAAACCATTGCTCAGATGGGGTGCCTGTGTTGCACATGGTGGCTTAACTCCCTGTGCTGCACCACCAGATGGATTTTTATACCTTTGTGCTGTCCTCAGTGACAGCAAGGTCTCCTGCTGCGACAACTAGGGTGGTGGTGTGCAGGTGCGATGTGGGCGGGTGCAGAGGGTCATTGTGTCTCCAGCCATGAACTCACAGGTGGAAAGTTCTGTAGCCTGTGGCTCTGTGCTCCCTTACACATCGGCCGCAAGAGCCATGGCACACACGACCATGCCTGCCTTGTGTCAACACTTGGCTCCATGTTGGAGACTTGGGAGGGCTGTTGTCTTGTCACTTGAGAAAATCCACCTGCTTAAGATGCATTGGAGAAGAGGGGCTGCTGCCCACATGGACTCTCCCTGGTATTCCCAGTTGCACCTGTGATGGAGGCAAGAGTATGTTCTTGGCTGAACGAAGGCAGTTATAAGAGCCAGCTGACTCCTGAGTTCTTGCATTCACATGTGCAATGAGTGTCCCCCAAGGTCAGGTACAAGGGCAGAGGCCACCTTATGGAAGAGCTTGTGTCCTGGAAGCTGCATGCAATGATGAAGGGCATTCATGGAACTCAGTGGAATGTGTGCACAGAGCTGACATGAAGATGCTCAGCTCTGTATGTCTTGGACATATGGGCCCTAGAAATAGCTTCTCTGGAATGATAAAATCACCCTGGATCATTGCTTGTTCTGTGTTTGCTTGGGCCATTGGCAGATGTCTCACACACAGTCATCACCTTCCCACAGCTCTGCTTTGCGCTGGGCTTTCCTTCCTACGCCCTTGAGTATAGTATGGGGAGAAATCCCCAGAACATCACCTGTCCTGCTCAGTGAACCAAGGCTGCATGCTCATGAGACAGAGTCTGCTGCTTCACTGCCTCCAGTTCCAGCTGCTCCCCTTCCACTCCAGCACTCTGCTCATGTACCTGGGGAAGCAGCAAACACAGCCCAACTGCTTGGATCCCTGCCCTCCATGTGGGAGACAAGGATGGAATTCCTAGCCCCGCCATGGCTGTTGTGGCCATGGAGAGAGTGAAGCAATGGATGTCTCCCTCTTGCTGTAATTCTGCCTTTCAAATAAATAAATCCTTTTATAAAATATGAGAGACACTGTGCTGTGTTGGAGACCTGTGATTGGCAGAATATGTCCTGCTCTTACAGAGTACGGTGTGAGAAATGCAGGTGGGGTCAGGCTGTTCTTTTGCTTTTAAGATTTGAAAACCAAAGACAGAGGAGGAACAGACACAGAGAATCTTCCACCTGCTGGATCACTTTCCAGTTGGCAGCAACAGCTAGTACAGGCCAGGCTGAAGTCAAGGGCATCTTCCTGGTCTTCTGCATGGTGGCAGGGGCCAAAACCCTTGGGCTATCTTCTGCTGCTTTTTCCAGACCTTTGGCAGGAAGCTGGATTAGAAGTGGAGCATCTGGGGCATGAACCGGTACCCTTATGGGACATCTGTTTTGCAAGCGGTGGCTTCATCCACTGTGCTGTGCATGGCATTATGTTCTATGATTTCAGGGTCTGCCAGGACACTGTCCCTCTGATGTGTGACTCTCCCAGGAGCCTTGAAGCGTTTCCTGTCTCTATGATGCCCATGTTGTATAGCCCAGTGCCTGACTGCTTGCTGAGTCAGTCAGTCCTGACTTATATTTGTTTCCTATCTCATTTGCTTGATCTGCCCAGCACCAATTGGCCACGGGTTGGGCAACCCAGTATGTCAAAAAGTGTTCCAAACAGGAGACTGGGAAAGCAATGAAAAGTGAAGAAGGGGGTCTTGCTGGCCAGGGGCGTGATCATCTGGCCAATGTCTTGGGCATGTCGTTGGCTGGCTCCCTCTGGGTCTGAGGTTGCGTTCTCAGTATGGGAATTCTCAGCCGCCTCCCAGAGAAGCAGGCTGTCCTTCCACGTCTCATTTGGGCTCAAATCTTAGCTGCATGGATTTCACGATGCCTGTGTGGACCTCAGACTGTGGTCTGCCTTTCAGTGAGCTAGCACACAGGGCCGCAGTACACATTTACAGTATTAGCACAGTATGATCAGTAAATGCAATCTGTCAAAGGCAGTCAGAATTATAAATGTGTGCTAGTGGAGCAGGGCAGGGGGCAGTTCAGGAGAAATCCAAGTCAGGGTTTCCCTTGTTTTACATATCTGTAATGCATTAGCATAGCAGCTTGTTTTAGAGTGAGAATGGCTCCTGGGATTTCTTTGTTTTGTTTTAATCTCCTTTGTAACTGAGATAAGGAAGAGTTAGATTCACGTGCCAAGTACATTCATGTGCCCGTCACTGTGAACACTAGGTGGCGGTCAAACTTCATGTTTTGTTCTTTACCTTCCACTTTTGGGAGCAGATACCACTGAGGGACCAGAAAGCTAGTGTTTGATCGTTTAGATGACAACGCTCTACTTTGAGGATTTTTTTCTTTTAGTGTCTACCCATTGTAATGGCAAATATGTTTTAAGACAGAAGTCACAATGCACAACAGTGTTCAGCTTTAAACTCCAGGAATGACAACCGTCAGGTCATCCTCTGATGTGTCTTGGTGTGCCTACATCTGGGAACCCTTCATGTATCCTACCCCCTCCAGCCATCTCCCACTGGAAGCCACCACCTCCCCTAGCAAACATGCTTGTCACCTTGGCTCCTTTTATGCCAGGACTCCAAGGGTGGTTTCTAGAAAATGTTTACCTGTGAGTTGATTGAGTTCTTGGTCTCTGTCCACCAGATGGGATGCACTATAAAGATCAGCATCTCAGGGCCCGGCGCGGTGGCGCAAGTGGTTAAGTCCTCGCCTTGCACGCCCGGGATCCCATATGGGCGCCGGTTCTAATCCCGGCAGCCCCGCTTCCCTTCCAGCTCCCTGCCTGTGGCCTGGGAAAGCAGTTGAGGACGGCCCAAAGCTTTGGGACCCTGCACCCGCGTGGGAGACCCGGAAGAGGCTCCTGGCTTCGGATCGGCATAGTATCGGCCCGTTGCGGCTCACTTGGGGAGTGAATCATCGGATGGAAGATCTTCCTCTCTCTCTCTCCTCTCTGTATATCCGCCTTTCCAATAAAAAATAATAAAAATAAATCTTTAAAAAAAAAATATTACGTAAAGATCAGCATCTCATATAAACTATTTGCAACTCATTATAGAGTGTCTGGCTCGTGGGAATCTCATCAGCTTATTAGATGTCCACACGGATGCGTGCTTATATGGAAAGGGCAAAGGGATGAAAAGGAAGAAGGGGATAGAAGGGAGGGAGGGGTAAGAATGGAGGGAAGAAGCTAAGGATGGATGGGAAGGAGGGTGTGGATAGGTGCATCGGAGGGATAGTTTGTTGAATGCATAGGTGACGACTCTGGGTGTTTGGGTGAGTGGATGGATGGTTGGGTGGATGTGTAGATGATGAGTAGATGAATGGATTGTTGATAGGTAGACAGAGGAGTGCATAGATGTCTAGACAGGTGGCTGGAATGATTTCTGCATGGATGGATGGATAAACAGGTGGCTGGATAGATGCTGGGCTGACACATGGCAGATGGGTAGATGCTGGCTAGATGGATGGATGCATGAATGCATAGATGGAGAGGTGTATGGACGATGGATAGATGGATGGATGGACAGACAAATGAACAGATGCGCGGATGATATGGATGAATGTGCGGATGCTTCATGGGTGACTGGACAGATGGATGGTCGATGGGTGATGGATGGATGGATGATGGTTAAACAGAATTATGGCTAGATGGATGGCTTGAGTGATTGATGGGTGGATGCTGGATGGTGGTGACTGTGGCTTACATGTTGGTTGTGGGACACACAAGCCCAGCCACCTAACCTCTGCTCCCTTGTCTCCTGCAGGTCGTGGGCATTTTTGCTGGATTCGGCCTCCTGCTCTTGGTGGCCTCCCCTTTCCTGCTCCTGGCCACTCCTTTTGTACTTTGCTGCAAGTGCAAGTGTAGTAAAGGCGACGATGACCCATTACCCACCTAGAGGAAGACACATTGCTGGACAAGACCCCACCTCCAGGAAGCGTGGCCCTCCCTGCCCCGCCGCCCCCTACTCACTAAACATCTCTCTTGCCTTATGTGCCCCATTGAGCTTCACAGGGTCGGGCCAGTGACTTGTGTCGGAACCTCACCATGGGGAAGACAAGGCAGGCGTGGGGAGGGCAGGTCCCCACAGTTGGTCTCTGCAGACCTGGTGTTGTGGGGGCTGTGGAAACAGATGGGTCAGGTTTCCACTGTAGCAAGAACCTGGGGACATCGGTGGGGTCTGAGAGTCCTTCTTGAACAAACGGCTATCCGTCTCCTCCTTGGCTTTGAGAAGGCGCTGTGTCGTTGGGAGAAGTCTTGGAAGGTTTCACTTCTCTGCAGACAGAGTCTGATTCTTCGGGCATGAGAGAAGCACTCTGTTTATGACAACTTTTTTTATTATTATAATTACTAATGGCATTTAGTAAAATCCTTTTTAGAAGGCATTTTTCCTTTCCAACTGAGTAGTGAAAATCAATAAGGTGCATATAAACCATCCTAGGCCTTTCTTGAAACGTGCGTTCTCAGAAGTTAAAATTCAGTGACTTTTCTGGCACAGTCACTTTCAGGAGGTTGAGGAAGCCTTACGCGGTTCGCTGGAAGCTGGCTGTGACTGTTTTTTAAGAGCTGTGAGCTGTGCACTGTCAGGTTGTGGTTCCCATGTTGTTGCGTTGCTTGATGGCGCCGATGGGTTTGAAGGACTGTCCCCTTAGATCAGCCCGTGCTATCTCATCTTTCGGGTGATTCAACTTGGGGTCCCTCCTGTTCTCACCCAGGTAGCAGCACGCCCCTTCCAATATCTCCAAACCAAATGTTTTTCTAGGGCATTGTTCTCCGTGGAACTGGAGTGCTTTCTTCAGCCCCAGGCTCCAAGAAGACAGAAGAAAATCAAGCCAGTTGCCTCCACAAGAGGGCGTCCTTGCAGGGCTGCAAGTCCCAGGGCTTTGGGGGAGCTTCTTGGATCTTTATGCTTTCTCATTACTTTGACATGTGCACATCTTGCACAGCTGCAGGTCCTGTTGCTAACAACCATGCTTGTCCTTGCTGGAAATGAGCTAACTTACCCTTTACCTCCCCTTGGATGTGAAGATTCTGCCATTGGTCGCTGTAGGGCTGTAGGTGATGGTTTCCACGGCAGCAAGGTGTGCCAGTCAGGAAGCAGGTGCACATTTCTTCCATCCTCTTGACGCAAAGCAGAGAAAGTACGGAACAAACTTGCAAAGTCACTCGTGCTTGGGAGGGGCAAAAGGCAAATGCTTCTGATTGATTAGGTGGAATTGTAAGATTTATGCAGCATCCTACAGAGAAGCCTGCCAGGAACAGAATTCCCTTCTGGCTGTTATTTTGGTCATAGCAAGCACAGGTTATTTTGTGTGTGTGACTTCTACCTGGGCAAGGTCCAACACTCCCTCCTTGACCTTGAACAGGTGAGAGGAAACGACAGTGCACCCCTCCTCACTGCGAGTGTTGATGCTTTTCTGTGACAGATGAAGCCATGGACCAGTTCAGCTGGTATCAGAGCCGTGTTCAGAATTGTCTGGTAACTGCCCTGGACAAGTTCAGGAACCGAGAGCCTGCTGGGACCGTCTTCCTTGATGCCCTGGCGGTGGGTCTCTGTCGTGTGAGACATGATGGTAGATACAGTGGCGGCTCTGGAAGAGGAGTGAGAGTTGTGAGTCAGTGGCCAGCTTGTGTGGCTGCAGCTGCAGCTTGGGCCCTCTGAAGTGCCAGTCCAAGTTGGCAGGCCTGAGGCTGTTCCTAGTCCTTCCTGCCTGGTGTAGTTGGGTCATCAGTGGTGCCCTTCCTTTGAGGGGTGGGCAAACCAGGGCCTTTGGAAAGGCTGCATCAGGGTGGGTGATGGTTCACACCCTGTTTTTCTTAGGAGGACAGGATGTTCTTCCCTCTCAGAGCTATTTCTGACCCGATCACGTACGTCTGTAGCCCCAAACATCCTTGTGCCTTCAGCTCCCCTGTATTTTGTAAGTGTGTGGTTTGATCCTTGTAGTGACCAAGCCTGTGGGGCCAGCCAGGGACAATCAGATTAGCACCTTCCTGCTTGGAGCCTTTGTCGCAAGCACGCCTTGGTCCGCTTTAGTAATAAAACGAGAGCTCATGTTTCCCTCCCCCGTGACTCCTGTCCTGAGCGAGGAAGCCAGACTCGATGTGAGTGGTCACACACACTCGATGCCAAGTCTCCATGGAGGAGATGGCCCTGGATTTGAACTTCACTGCTCCTCTGCCGTCCACACTGGGTGCTCGGCGTGCAGCGGACAAGCGTTCCTGCGACACAGCAGTTTGTCTTCAGTGAACAGTGCAGTCAAGTGTGCATGCAGCTTGCACTAGCTCCGTGGATGCATACCGTGTTACTCCTCAGGAGGCCCCTGCGCTCTGGAGTGGGGCCAGGCCGTGGCTCTCCTCCTGGGAGCGTCCTTGACAGCAGGTCCGCTGAGGTGTGTGGGCAACTGGCAGCGTGGGGGGGCTGTGCTGGCTGCTGTGATCCCTGCATCGGGCTCTGCCGTGGACCCCCAGAGTGGGGTCCCTGTACATGTCCATGTAGCAGAGGCGGGCTTCGCAGCGAGTCCTCAGTTGCAGGCCAGTTCCTCCTCCACTCCCAGCAGTCCCTGCAAACTGCTTAATGGGCACCTGCCTCTCCGGGCACCTTTCGAAAGGAGAAGGCCTGCTGTTTTTTAGATGGTTCTATAAAACCAGTTTAGCAGCCAGCTCAATTCCTGACTCGTGCCCAGGGCCCAGGGCATGACTGTCACAGAGACAGCAAGACGAGTTTATCTTTCTTCCTTAGCTGACAAAATTCGAAAGCTTTCTTTCTAACATATTAGAAGAAGAAATATATCTTTAGCAGCCAGGGGTTGGAAGGAGTTGGGGTGGACTTTTTAATATTTCTTAGATTTTCTTCTATGAATAGAATCTGTAAATGACAATGGAGTCGCCAGTGGAGCAGCGTTTCACAGATCTAACACTGCAGGAAGGTCTGTTAGAGATACCAAAGCTTGTCTATTTCTTAGCATTTACCCAAACCCCAGGAAAGCAGCAAAGCGAAGAGACCTGCGTTCAACACATCGCTGACGCTTCCCGACCTGGCAAGCTTGCTGTCTCGGTTCTCATGCCCCGAGGTCTCCCCGCCTCCGATTTGTGCAGTCGTCTTCCACGATTCCAGGGACCGTGACGGGCCTCCCATGAGGGGCCACTCTGTGCCACATGCCTGACCTTTCCGTCCTCCTCGGCTCACATGACCGTGGGTGAATGTCAGTCTTGCATCAACTCCACACGGATGACTTATGCACATGGATGCATTATGTATGTGACAAGTGATGGTCGAGCAAACACAAGGCACTTTGTGTCTCTGCGGCGTCGTACGTCATGTGCCACGAACACTGTGATGTATACACGAGCTGTCTGGATGCCTTCTCATGCTGTGTTTTGTACTTGGGAACCCTGATGTAATTCCAATACATATTTTACATGTATTGTGTTTTCTGTGGTCCACCTCCTCACCCTTCAGAAGGGGGTGTCTTTTTCAAGATATTTTGGCTGGAATACAGGTGACTTTTGTAACAGCGGCTTGGCTCAGTGTGTTGTGGATGCTTTTCTCACCGTTGTCCTGAGGATGAAGGGAGAGTGGGGCACATAGCTTTGTGTTGATAGGAAAGCAGCTCTCAGGAGAGTTCTTAACCCTCAGTTGCCAAAATCCTACAGATTGCTGGGCTCAGCTGTCTCTCAGCTCCTTGTTATGCTAGCCCTCCACGCTGCACAGGGGCGCAGGTCCACGTGGGACAGGCGCCTTGCAGGCTGCACTGCCCCATTGGAGCATCAGAAAGGCCAGACTCATGCTTTCTCTCTGGGGGGAAATGGCCACAGTAATGGATGGAGTTCTTTCATTTTGACTGACCTTGTCTAAGCTTCACAGGAGGATAAATGCTTCATTAACAGGAAACCGAGGGTGGGAACAGGCCGTGAGCTGCTTGTCCAGTGTTTGAGTTAAACCCCCCACCGTCGGTCCCCTACTGTGCGGAGTGAGGGGGGTGCAGGGTAGACGGGTCCTATGGTTGCTGTAGACTCAACATGCATGTTCTCACAGAGGTCTCGGTCTGAAAGGAGACAGATCTCGTCGGGTATTGTCCTCATATGGTGCACAGCAGGCTTGGGGAACACAGGCGTAGCGGTCAGTCAGACCCGAAGGTCAGAGAGGCTGACCACGAGCTGGGTGTTGCAGACAAGCAGGCGTTAGCAGTACATGAACCAGCCAGATGTCCGAGGAACAGTCCAATCCAGATGTGTATGTGGTTTGGTCAGACTGGCAGATGTGGTTGGAGGGTTCCTCAAGTGTGTAGACCCGAAGTAGCAGCAGATGCAAAGGTCAGGAACTTGGCCTTCATTACAAGGCCAGTATGGGGGGGGAGGTATTGTTCCCTTCAGGCTGCTGTAACAGAACCTCAGGGCAAATGTGGAAAAAATGGCATTTTTTAAAATCTTGGTTGTGATGAAGGCTCACTCTTTGCAAGTCAGCTGGCTCTGAGCTGCCTGCTTGCCACAGGTGGTGCCCATGGTCAGCAGTCAGTGGAGTGAGGAGCCTGTTTCCTGTCTGTCTGCCTGATGCTCCTTCCTAACTCGCCCCCACTGATCTGTGTGGAGGCTCCTTTTTGTCCTGGGGTGGTTTGGGATCCTGACAGGATGCTTGTTCTCAGAAGCACCTGCTGTTGACCTGCTGTTCCCATCCTGCTGCCACACTCTCTCCAACCAAAGGGCCCTTTGGGAAAAACGCTGTGCCTGCATGGGCGTTCAGTTCAGGCTTTCTTCCAGTCAGGTGGAGGGAGAATGGGACCATTCATTGCATCACTGATGACAAAAGATTCAGAGTCAGTAAGAGCGTCCCACTGCCTTGAGCAGAATGGGGTAGGAGTCAAAGCCATCCAACACGAGGGGGGGGTTTTGGTGCCACAGGTGCCAGCCAGCAGAGGGGCTGTCATTAATGACAAAGGAGTAATTGGCATGTTAATGAAATATGCAGATAATACTAAACCAGGGGTTGTTGCAAACAGCAGTTAGGAACTGCAGACCCTGAGCAGGGACAAAGAAGAGGGAAAGCCACCATAAAGCAAGCCTCTGTTTTGCAAAATACAAGATAAGGCACCTGCAGAAAAATGTATAGAGAGCTCAGAAGCCCAGAACAGTGCAAGCATGGAAGGCAGCCCCAGCGCCAGGAGTGCCAGCAGCGGGCAGTACCCTGTCCTCCTTCCTCCCAGCTGGAGCTGCACTCACACCAGGCGGCCTCTGGAGCTTGTACCCTGGAAGCCCTTAGGAGTCAAGATCCACCACAGAGCCACAGGCTCATTTTCCACCCAGCCTTGGTTTAGGTCGTCTTTAATCTCCCGTAGGCTTGTCCTGTCTCCTCTGCCCACCCCTCCCACACTGCTATCTCTAGAAGTTATTTTTCTCTTGTTGTGGGGTGCGAGCAAGATCATGTCAGACAAGTCTAGGGTGTATTAAGGAGTCTTTATTAGCCAAGGTTGGTGATAACAGGGCCTGCTAGAAATTCTCAAATGAGAAGTCCTTATGGCAATCCAGTCTGAATCAAAACTCTGAGAGGAACAAATGGCCATTACCATGAAATCCATCTGTTAAACTGAAGACCTCTGTTCCAGCCTTCCCAGCAATGTAAATCATTCTGAGACATGCAGTGACCAACCTGAACACACAAAGCTACAAGCATTCACCTCTTCCTGGCTCCTGCCCACCTTCCATTACGGCTAGGCCTCACCTCAGAACTTTTGAAAGTATACAAATTAGAAATACAAAACAACATAGCACTAACATCTTTACTGTCTTGCCCAAGCAGTGAACAGAGGGTGAAGTCTACAGGGCCATGCTCAGGGACTACCTATCCTCGGAGTCTGCAGGAAGCCAGAGAGCAAGCAGGTGCTGTGGAGGCCAGGAGTCCAGTGCTGGAATGCTGGATGTGGTCAAGAGAGCGAGCCCCTCCCTACCATCAGCCTTTATGTAGGCTCGTGAGGGGAGGGGTTATGCAGCAGTGGAACACCACCCCCCTCTCAGGTTCTGGGAGGTGATGAGTGAGCATCACAGATGGGCAGAAAGGATCGCGTGGGTGGAGAAAGCGTGGCTTCCAAGCTTGTGACCCTGAGCTAGTTTTCTAAGACCAAACACTCTGATGCTCCTGTTGCAAACTCTTGTTGGAGGGACAATGGTTTGATCAAGCCAGCACTGGGGCACCTGCAGCCTCTGCCAGGTTCTGGGCTCCGCTTCCAGTTACAGCTTCCTGCCAATGGGCTCCCCGGATGACAGCGGTGATGGCTGAAGAGGTTGAGTCTGCCACCATTGTGGAAGACCCAGAAGGAGCTGCTGGGTCCTAGCTTTAACTCCAGGTAAGCCCCCAGACATTGCAAATGGGCGATCTCTGTTGTTGGAATGTATGACCTGGGGCAGTGTGTTAAGAGGTGATTGGTGAAGGTGAGAGAGAGCTACAGGGAGTGAGCTATACATCCCCCCCGCCCCCCTGAAGGTACAACTTCAAAGGCAGAGGACAGTCACTAGATACCAAGCCTGGCGGCTCCTGGGTGTTCCACTTCCCAGCACCCAGAACTGTGAGAGAAAATAAACAACAAAAAACCTTCTGTCCTTTGTGAATGACTCAGTCTAGGGACTTTGTCTAGAGTGCAGAGGGTTCCATGCTGCTGGCCTCCAGCTCACTTTTAAGTGACACAGTTGGTGTCCTGTTTATCTCGGTTGGCTTTCATCTATGCTCATCAGTACTACACCTGCTGCTGCATCCATCCTACGTCTGTAGCTCCAGCTGAGGTTGCCAGCGACAACTCTGGCACCACAGCCCGCTGGTGCCTACCCTCCTTACCCCGTGCCCTGCACCGGCTTTGCCATGGCTGGTATTTCTTCCTTTGTTTGCCTGTGTTCATTCTCTCTGACTCCTTCCCACGTCTCTGGTAACATTTTCTCTGCCTTTTTGATGCTTTGTCTTGTATTTTTCATTTATTAGATGATACAATTATTCAAGGATGAGCTTCTAAACTCTTAATTTTGTTTCCACCCTCTAGTGAAGGCAATGTCTGCGCTTGGCGGGCTCTCAAAAATTCTTCAAATTATTCCTGCATCCGAATCAACTTTGTGTCATTACTCCTGTGTTATCTTTCTCTGGGCTCCAGAACTCAAGTTGGATATGCTGAGTTGATTGCCATGGACTAAACTGGACATTCCAGGTCCATACCCCAGTGAACAGAATCTGCTAGAACAATCCAATGGCCAATATCAAATACCAGTCTCACCCTGGAATGGCTTCTCTGGAACCTTCAGTGGGATTTTGATGCTTCTTTGCTTGTATGATCTGGGCCTCTTTGCTCAAATACAGGCAAACACGCACTTTCCCTGACTGGCTCAGACCTAGGGAGTGTCTTTCCTGGGTCTACACGACCCCAGTCACAAAGCAAAAGATGCTGGAACCATGCTCTTCTTCCCGGCCTTGCTCACTGCTCCATCGAGCATCTGTAGAAACAGTAGTGTTAGGGTTCGTGGCTTGGTTCTCTTGGAAAGCTGGGAGCACTTGGCCTTCCCCACCCAGGAAGCGAGAGCCTCAGGCTGTGAGCTCATTATTTCCTCTTGGCGCTTGCTGCCTTTTGAAGCCGCCTCTCTGCCAACCTGTGCTTGCTCCACATTGCCCCACCCACACACTTCCTGTGACTGTGTCCCCTGTGTGCCCCCGCCCAGTAACCTTCCCACTTCTCCCATCCACAGCCCTGCCCGGTGTCTCAGCACGTTGTTCCCGTGTGGGTTGATCTGCGTCCCCCACGTTCATGTGGCCAGGCACGTGGCCCACAACCTGAGGAGCTGTTTATAGCCTGGGTCTTTGTAGCCTTCATGATTTGCTTATTTATTTGAAATGCAAGGTTACAGAGAGTGGGAAAAACTGAGAGCGATATCTTCTGTTTGCTGGGTTACTTCCTGAATGGCAATAGCTGGGCCAGACCCTCCACTCAGCTTTCCCGTATGTGCTGTGCTTTCTGAAGAACATTACTGGGGACCTAGATCAGAAGTGTTGGCTTGGTAGGTGGCCTGATTTACCCGTAGGCACAGCGCTGGCTCCTCTCCCCGCTATCTCCTCTTCCCTGTAGCAGCTTTCAAGCGCCCCCTCCTGTGTGGGGGTGGCCATTGCACCCCCTCCTTAAAGCTGACACCTGACTCTGGTTTCCTGGTTCCCAGGGTCTGGCCTGGGGAACTCCCTGGGAAAGAGATTACAGCTTTATGAGCGACAGGTCAGAGGCTCTTCCGTGGTCTACCTTTGTGCGCTGCGCCTCATCGCAGCTGTAGCACAGGGGTTGTCTTACACGTGTTCACAATTGCTTCTAAATTATTTCGTGTCTCACCTGCTGTGTACCAGAGGGCCAAGAAACACAGCCCGAATGGACACTGCGGCTGCTAGGGACAGCATCGCGATGAAGGACTTTCTCACCTGGTGAATGTGAGCATCCGCTTGGCAGGGTGTTACAGAGACTGGAAATCAGTGGTCACCATCCACTCACCACAGGTGAACTTC